ATTATTATGGCCCATCTTAGATTGTATTTTTTTTTTTGTCAATATACAATGTATATGATTATTATGGCCCATCCTTAGATTGTATTTTTTTTTTTGTCAATATACAATGTATATGATTATTATGGCCCATCGTTAGATTGTATTTTTTTTAAAGAAAACAATTTGTATTTTGGGGAAAGCCTATGATATATGTGGTATTAATTTTCAATTTAGTATCATAACATAAGTCAGCTACTTAAGGAGAGAATTTGGGGGTAAGGTACTTGATGTCACATAGAGTAGTACATGGTAGCTTGTATCAAACCACCACTTTTTGGTCTCTCTTTTGCCCTTTTCTTTAGACGTAGGTTGGCTACTGGCTCTCACTGGACAGTCACTGAAAGTCTAGAGATACAAGGCAGAGCCACATGCACAAGTCCAGGTGACAAACAGGAGAAAAAGTCCCCTAGCTATACCATAATTCCATGCTCCCATGTCGTGAATTGGAATGAGCACATGGAATCTTTATTTAAGCGACACAATATCCCCTATCCAAAAAGAATTCTACTATTTCAGCATCACAAACGTACAAGGCATAAAAATTCCTTTCTGAAGGATTGTCTGACTTCATAAAGATTATCAATAACTTGCAATGTTGTGATGTAACATGACATGTTATGAATATACGTGCAGAAACACTGAACAGACATAGAAGAACAAAATACTCCACAACTGTACACTTCAGACAAGAATAAACCTTGATTCGCCGAAATGCTCCAGTACTACAAAAATGTCTTTAACATAATAAATGCTACCTCTGTAGCTCAGAGCCATGCCTGGAATTTGGGGTCTTCAGTGCCTTTAATAGCATATGCCATCAACCAAAAGAAACTATGCTGGGCCGGCCCGGTGGCGCACTGCTACAGTGCGCCGCTTGGGAGTGTGACGGCGCTCCCGCTGAGGGTTCGGATCCCACATACAGACCAGTTCCCGCTCACTGGCTGAGCGAGGGGCGGGAGCAACACCGAGGGTTGCGATCCCGTTGCTGGTCCCGGTCCAGTACTGGGGCAACACTGAGGGTTGCGATCCGTTGCCGGACACGAAAAAGGAAGAAAAAAAAAAAAAAAGAAACTATGCTAACTCAACTCCCTTCCCAACGAGCCTGCCTTCCAACCAGGTGTGTTTCTACACCTCACATTTCACCTTGTACCTGGCAACAAAGCAGCAGCTTCTGTATGTTAGACATATATGAAAGGGGATTTATTAAGGTATCTCATGCAGTTGTGAAGAGAAGTCCCATGATAGGCCATCTGCAAACTGGATGCTGGTAGCACGGCTCATTCCACGTCCGAAGGCTGATTGTGGGAACCCTGACTAATACAGATTTTGGTACTAGAAGTACCAGGCTTATTTTATTCCTTCATAAGATTTAAAAGCATAGCATAACTGATTATGTTAAAATATTCAAAATGTACATATTTCCCTGGTTCCTCCTACAAACCAATAGCCTTGGAAATAAGAGGACATAGATAGCAAAGAACTTGCATAAAAGAGGCTTTAAAAGACCACCAAAAACAACACAGACCTTGTATAAATTATGGTCCGTACAAACCAACTATAAGAAGACATCTTTGTGACATTTGAATATGGACCAAATATTACATGATATTAAAAAAACCACTGTTAATTTTTTAGATATGGGAATGGCAAGGAAGTTATTTTTAAAAATTCTTACCAGTTAGAGATGCACATTGAAGCATTTATAGGTAAAATGACACGAATCTAGCATTTGATTTAAAATACTTTGGTTAAAAAATGATATTGGGGGGCCGGCCCCATGGCTCACTCGGGAGAGTGCGGTGCTGGTAGCACTGAGGCCACGGGTTCGGATCCTGTATAGGGATGGCCGGTGCGCTCACTGGCTGAGCGCGGTACGGCCAGTCACAAAAAAGACAAAAAAAAATAAAAATAAAAATAAAAATTCCTTTAATAAAAAGGGTTTAAAAAATTATACACTTTTTTTTTTGTTGTCTCTTTTTTAGTGTCTGGCAACGGATCGCAACCCTCAGTGTCGCGCCCGTACCGGACCGGGACCAGCAACGGTGTTGTCTCTTTTTTAGTGTCTGGCAACGGATCGCAACCCTCAGTGTCGCACCCGTACCGGACCGGGACCAGCAACGGGATCGCAACCCTCGGTGTCGCGCCCGCACCTCGCTCAGCCAGTGAGCGGGAACCGGTCTGTATGTGGGATCCGAACCCTCGGCGGGAGCGCCGCCATACTCCCAAGCGGCGCACTGTAGCAGTGCACCACCGGGCCGGCCCCTCCCCAATTATACACTTTGAGTACACCTCTGTTTTGTTTTTGTTTTATTTTTAAACTGAAGGAAGCAAGAATCAATAAATATGATACCTGAAAATATCTTACGATAATGCCAACAGTGGTTCTCGGCTACAGTTTTCTGTAATTTTCATAAATGTGAGTACATCGCACAATTAAAAATCTCCCTCACCTTCTCCTTTGTCCTCAACTCATTAAACATTTGCTGAATTTCCAGCTTCCAGTCGTCTTGCATGGAATGAAAAGATTCTTGTGGCATTTCAGCCATCACGGCCCCTTCAATAGCGGTCAGCTGTTCCAGAATTAAGGCAAATGACGGGCGGATGTGAGGGTCTTGTTCCCAGCATTCTAAAACAAAAGACAACCACGCTAATTCCATCTCTCCGTCCAGTTCGGATGATTGCCAAGACATCAGGGTTTCTAAGAAATGTTTTACAATAAAATGCTTTTCAAGTTAACATCTGTCATTCTAAACCAGAAGCCCATGTTTCCAGTGTCTGCTCCTGAAGATTTGACTTTGATTCATCATACTTTGAACAGTTTATATTATACAGTGTCCATGTCAGAGCATACGTAATAATTAATATTAGATAGGCTTGCTGTTGTTTATAGGATACCACATTTAATATATGGGTGCGTGCTTCCCAGGCCTGACCGTGAACTCTGACTCAGGGTCCCAGGCTGGCATGGCCAGACCATCTACTGATATAGAATTATACATACAGCTCCACCCAAGAAAACCAAAGTCTCTAAAATGTGTAAATCACAGGAGAAGTTCTAAAAAATAACCTAATTATGAAATAAGGTAACTTGCTGCATACAGAAAGAATTAATTTTTAAAAGGTAAGGATCAAACAGACAAGATCATGGCAAAACCATGCCAGTTAAGACTGTAAAACACGTCTGATCATTAGGCTGAATTTAAAAATAGAAGATTTGGAGCCAATTCAGTACTGTTTGAACCCTACTAGTGTGCTTGGTAAAAAAGTTTATTACTATTCAGTTGAGTTTGGTACATAAATGAGTCACTGATAAAACCAGACTGTTTTTAAGTTCCTTCATTCATCAAAACTTTACCTGACATTTTATTTTTATTTTTATTTTTTAGTAGTATTGTTATTATTTTTTGCATTCTATGATGTTGTGGAGCAGTTTGGGAGAGGGAAAAGGAGAGAAAATAGGGTGGGAGGAGAAAGGAGGAGGGGTGGGGTTGAGGCCTGTGGCACCTCCCTCATTCCTGCAGGGGAGACCAAGGGGTTTCCAGCAGTGGCTTGGCCATTGCTGGGTGGGGTGCAGATGGCAAAGGGGTGTGGCTGAAGCCCTTGCCCCACTACTGCCCCAGCTTGGGAGCCCAGGATGCCTCCTGCGGCAGCTCAGTGGTCATCACTGGGCTGGTTGTGGGTGTTGGGGAGGCGTGGCCAAGGCCCTTGGCCCCCCCACCGCCCTGGCTCAGGAGCCTGGGGCACTTCCTGCAGTGGCTTGGTGGTCATTGCTGGGCTGGTTGCAGGCGTTGGAGGGCTGTCTTTACCTGACATTTTAGATCAAAGGCAAAGTTTCTCATTCTTAAAACAGTATAATTACTTAAATGAATTTGAAAACTGGAATCACAAAAATGGCTTTTCTGGTTAAAAAAAAAATAGATATTCTAATGAGTAATTCTCTTTGCTCATACAGATCACAGAAACAAAGGCTAAACAAATACCTCTCATGAGCCTGGCAAATGGCTCCGGGCAGGTGGACGGGATAGGCAGAGTGAGCTTATTGACCGCTACCCCATAAGCGACGGCAAGGCCATCAATGCCGCGATAGGGGACTTCTCCCGTGAGCAGCTCCCACAGCAGCACTCCATAGCTGGAAAGCCAAGTTTTCATATGTTAAAGGGGCTACAGGGTGTCTCTCCCTTTTGACCCCATTGACGGGATAAACACATCAGTACCTGCTCCTGGTAGGATCTTCCCTTCCAGCAAAGCTCAGGAGGGGCTGAAATCCCAAGCTGGGAGGTGGGCTCTTTCAGTCAATAACCCAAACACATGCAAATACATTCCCCCCTGAAATCACACATGCATCCATTGCAGGAATTAAAACTGCTTAAAGAATAGGGAGCTTGGCAGTAGTACACAACTGAGCAAAAAGGGGTCCAGAAGCAGGCCACACTTTAAGAGTCATGTGGCCTATCTCTTACGCAACACCTCTGGAGGACTGTTAGGACACTGAAGAGCCCAGCCCCACAGAAATCTCATGCCACACACACCGCAGGACAGAGAGTGTCATGCTCATTAACAATTTTTTTTTTTTTTGTCTTTTTCCATGTCCGGCAACGGATCGCAACCCTCAGTGTCATGCCCGTACCGAATCGGGACCGGCAACGGGATCGCAACCCTCGGTGTTGCTCCCACACCTCGCTTAGCCAGTGAGCTCGGGACCGGAAACAGGATCGCAACCCTCGGTGTTGCTCCCACACCTCGCTTAGCCAGTGAGCGGGAACCGGTCTGTATGTGGGATCCAAACCCTCGGTGGGAGCACCACCGCGCTCCCAAGCGGCACACTGTAGCAGTGCGCCACCGGGCCGGCCCCATTAACAATTTTTAAATGGTTTTTGAAATTGTTTATCTTTCTGCCTGTCCCTTTATATTTCAGGTGTGTTACTAACATTCCCACCATATTACTTAATGGTAATGGATAAAAGAAATCAGCGTGGGCCTCCTGGCACCTGCTGGCAGGACACAGCCTCTTTTTTCTGTAACGAAGGAAGCTGAGGTGGGACGGGAGTGGAGAACAGGGTCAGGAGCAGACACCGCCCTCCCTGCACCTGCTACATCAGTTCTTCAAAGGCAAACACGGTCACCAGCAAGAACAAGAAAAGGCACAGGATGGGATTTCTAAACAAATTTTCAAAATAAAGGTAAAGAACCAAATTCATCACAGACCCATAGCACAGTCTCTAAGGTCCCCAAATTCAACTTTGTTCAGAGTAGCAGAGTGTGGAAATGAGTCTTCTGGGTACATGTATTTACTTTCTTCTACTATAAAGGTCAGTACCTCTGTTTTCCCTTATTCTTTCTCTAAACATGAAGGACACTCAAGTTATCTTTTGTTAACACATTAAAAAATCAGAATCATTCCAGATGATTCACTTGACCTTTAATGGAAATACACAAATTGGAACACTGTCATATTTAGCTTCTTTTTAAATTCCATTAGTGTATCTGGTGAAGCCCTACTTTCCTAACCTTTTAAAACATCATTAGCAGATAAGGAAATTGTGGTATGTATAGACCATGGAATACTACTCAGCCATAAAAAAGAATGAAATTCTGCCATTCGCAGCAACATGGAATAGCCCGGAGAAAATTATGTTAAGTGAAATAAGCCAGGCACAGAAAGAGAAATACTGTACGTCCTTACTCTTAAGTAAGTGCTATCCCCTTACCAGTCAGAGGAAAAAAATTTAAAAATAAAATAATAATAGTGTTGATTTGATCATCACATATTATACATAGATGATGGCATAATGCTATATCCTCAAAATATATATAATCAATTATGTTTCAATATAAAAAAAGAGAAACCTCATTAGCTTTAAGTTAAAACCAAGTCTGAAGTTTAGAGACAGCTTTTCTCGTTTCTTACGTGTGCTGCTTCTACATAACATGTACGCATAGATTTAAAATATCAGAGAGAGAGAAAGTAGTACAATATGCCAAAGGCAAAGCAGCTCAGAATTACAGAAATTATTTTAATTTGGCTGCAGAATCGATTTGTGAGTCTCACTTGATGATCTGATCTTCAGAGAGCTGGGGATTCAAGACATCACACTAGAAGAAGCCGACTGTGAAGACCTGATCTGCAAAGAGCTGGCAACCATCTGCAGTCCAGGCTTGGGTCATCCCGAGAGGTGGAGACTTTGGAAAGACTCCTCCACGAGTGCCCCCTGGGCTCCAGACTCTGCACTGAGGACACTTAGAAAAACAGTGCAAGGGACGACAGGACGCGCCCATCCGAGGGGCCTCAGGGACGCTCTGGCTGGTGTTCTGGCCCTAAGCAGAGGGACCTGAGTCCTGAGCCAGGGGCTCGGGCTCCGAACAGGAGAAGTAACAGGCCAGCGCTGAAAACCCACTGGATTTGGAGGCCGAAGAGTGGACTCTGAGCTTTGGCAGCACCAGCACTCACTAGTGATGTCTCTCCTTGCAGGGCCCGTAAATCTGATCTTCAATGAACGCAGCGATGCCATAAAATAATGTGATATTTCCTCTGCCATCTCAAAGCACTGTCTTATTTTAAAATAAGAAATATATATAATAGGAGAGTACTTCAAAAAGTTCGTGGAAAAATAAAATTAAAAAACAGGGCCGGCCCGGTGGCGCACTGCTACAGTGCGCCACTTGGGAAGCGTGCCGGTGCTCCCATCGAGGGTTTGGATCCCACATACAGACCGGCCGCTCACTGGCTGAGCGAGGTGCGGGCGCAGCACCAAGGGTTGCGATCCCGTTGCCGGTCATGAAAAAAGACAAAAAGGAAAAAAAAAAAAAACAATACGAATCTTTTCATGAGCTTTTTGAACTACCCTTGTACTAATAAAATGAAATACTTGTAAATTATACAGGGCTAGGAAACTGCTAGCTGTTAAGCTGAAACCAATATTTTTCAAAGATTATCAGGTTAGTTTCTCGAAAATGATCTATACAGATGGTCCCCAACTTATGATGTTTTGACCTAAGGATTTTTCAACTCTACAATGGTATGAAACAGTAGCAATTTCAATGTAATATAGAGTGTTCAGGGCCAGCCCCGTGGCGCACTCGGGAGAGTGCGGCACTGGGAGCGCAGCGACGCTCCCGCCATGGGTTCGGATCCTATATAGGAATGGCCTGTGCGCTCACTGGCTGAGTGCGGTGCGGGCGACACCACACCACGGGTTGTGATCCCCTTACCGGTCACGAAAAAGACAAAAAATCACTGGGTGAGTGCGGTGCGGGTGACACCACACCACGGGTTGTGATCCCCTTACCGGTCACGAAAAAGACAAAAAATAAATAAATAAATAAAATAACTAATATAGAGTGTTCAATAAATTACACGAGATATTCAATAAATAAATAAATAAATAAATAAAATAACTAATATAGAGTGTTCAATAAATTACACGAGATATTCAATACTGATTTGAAAATAGGCTTTATGTTAGAAGATTTTGCCCAACTGTAGGCTAATGTAAGTGCGCTGAGCACACTTCAGGTAGGCTAGTCTAAGCTATGATGTTCAGAAGGTTAGGTGCATTAAATGCATTTTTGACAAAGCTATTTTCAACTTACATGGGTTTATCAGGATGTCAGAGGCATCTGTATTATGGTTCATTAGTAGAGACACCTTCATAATTGCAGGAGTAAATAAACTTAACTCAGAGATCAGTCAACAAAGATCACCTCAGAACAGGGGACTGAAAATTTCATAGACAGAATAACTGACAATTGTCTAAATTCAAAGAAATCCTCATTAGTAAATAACAAAACTATGCCAAAAAATAACAACAACATAACTTTGCTTCTTGGAAATTTCGGAGAATGAATAATCCAGGACAGGTCTTTTTTTTTCCAGAAAGAGGGCTTATCACATTATGAAAAACCAATGTGAAAAAACGTAACTTTCGATGGAACCATTTCTATCATGTAATACATATTTTTCTGTTCTCTTAAACCAGATGGGAGATTGTACAATGAAGTGCTCCCCTGAGAAGTCAAGTCACATAAGGATTAAGGGCTACGGGAGCAGGAGTCATGGACCTTAGTCCTGGGACTGGAGTCTGCAGCTTCCTAGTTTTACAACCCTAAGCAGATTTCTTAACTTCCCAGTGCTTCGGCAACCTCGTCTTAAAACTGGAGTAATAATAATATCTGCTGTAGAAATTACGTGGTGATGTCTAGCTAAGTGCACAGGACAGTTACCCTGCAGTGCAGTAACTGGTGAGGACAAAGGTCAGGGAACAGGAGAGGACCTGGAGGTACACAGTCCCAGGCCCCAGCACTGCAGAGGTGAGACAGTGCTCTCCATATGGAACTTCTGTTTATGCGAATGTTATAAAGAGATTCCACAGCAATGGTGTGTGTAATTCAGAGAGATCATCTCCCCTGCTCTTACCCGTGATATCCTACGACTCTAGTTTGCTTTTACATATTATTGTGTTTGGAGATGTCTAGGGTTGTTTGATCCTACAACCCAGCAGCTCCAGGGGGTGATACTTTCTTGCCACCGACTTTGCTTTCTGCTGCCAGTTTTTACTATCACCAGCTTGGCATCCCTCTCGTAATTAGCTGCTTTTAATGAAAATTAGATCATCAAGCTTTGTAAAATGGAGAATATCTTATAAAGGAACAGATTTTGAGAGGAGACCTCTCCAATGACTGGATGCACTTGAAGACCTATATTTTGGCTGGGTTTAACGGGTAATTTTATTTTTTTATTTTTTTGCTTACTTCCTGATTCTCTTCTATGTTTACAATAGACAAGGTCACTATAAAGCATGATTGTACAGGACTTGTATACCTTGCAATTACAAAGTTTATAATAGAAGCACACTAAATAAAATGGTTATAGTCTTAAGACACATTATTTTGAATGTAAAGTTGATTTATGATGTGTTTTTATAGTTTTTAAGAGTCTTAAAGAATGATTTCTTAAAAGGATAGCCATTTCACTTGTGTAATTTGGTATTTTTCATCTGGTTAGAAAATGACTGTAATTAATTCAATGAGAACACATTTAATGCTTTATAAAAACACACACGCTCAGCCCCTACCAGTAGAGAGTCTAATTCATTAAGTAAAAGGTAGGGTGCCAGCATTTGTGTTTCTTAAGCCAGCTCTGAGACACAACAGAACCCTGCCGCCAATGGGTAAATTTCTTAAAAGTTGTAAGTAGAACAATTAAAATCATATCTTAAATGCAAAGGGTAGGCTTTAAATGTAAAGCAATTCTATGCAACTTTTACTGGCAAAGATCCCCGCCACTTCACGTATGAACTTGACATGGTAACTTCTAGCATATCCAATGATTAAAAGGGAAAAATAATTTTTAATGAAAATGAATTTTGAAGTTACACAGATCTGGGTTTAAGTACAGTCCTGCTACTTAGCAGAAATGGATTCTCAGCAACTGACATTTTCCCTCTCAGCCCTGGTTTTCTATTATTATGTAAAAAAACCAAACAAACCAAAAAACTGGAATTTGAACCATAATGAGATACCACATCACACCTGCAAGAATGGCTGGGATTGAAAAGTCAGATAACAAGTGCTGGCAAGGACATGGAGAAATCAGAATCCTGTGCACGGCTGGTGAGAATAAAATATACCAGCCTGGAAGTTGCTCCAGTGACTAAACACAGAAGTACCATACGGCCTGGCAATTTCACTCCTCTTAGGTATGCACCCAAGAGAACTGGTGATACATGTCCTTCCAAAACTTGTTCATGAATGTTCTCAGCAGCATTTTTCACAATAGCCAAAAACTCAAATGTCCATCCACACACGAATGGATAAACAAAATGTGTATTCATGCAATGAAATATTCTTCAGCCATAAAAGAATGCAGCATTAACACATGCTACGATGTGGATGGACCTTGAAACACGATGCCCAGTCACAAAGGACAAATAAAATAAGGCTCCATTTACACGAAATGTCCAGAAATGAGCAAATCTTGACTGCCTAGGGCTAAGAAGAGGGCTTTGGGGGTGATGAATTAAGAGGTGCAGGGTTTCTTTCTGGAATAATAAAAATGTTCTAAAATTGTGGTGGTGGACACACAACTCTACAAAAATAGCCTAAGAGCCACTGAATTGTACAGTTTAAATGGGTGAATTGTATGGTATGTGAATTATATCTCAATAAAGCTGTTAAAAAGTGACAGACAAAAGCTGGAATTTTCATACCTGCCCCATAGGATTTTATGAGCCCTAAACAAAGGCCAGGAAGCTCTCTGTGCACTGCAACTATTAAACAGCGTGATTTTTCTTTGTGGTTCTGCTACTGACAACATCTTCAGCCCCCTACTGAGACATGGCTGAATGGAAAATCAAAATAATCTGCTATTCCAGTAGGTCCAGTTCTCCATCTTCGAACAGGAGGCTCTATCTTTAGATGAGGCGACCTATAAAATGAAGGGACTGGTCTAAGTTTTTCTCTCATCCTCTTTCCATGCTAATACTGTTTGTGAATCACGAGGAATCACAAGTTTGCTTAAAGTGAACATTTATTTCCTGGCAGGCCTTACAACATCTTGGCACCGGTGCTAACTCACATTAGAACCAGTTTTTATTTTTCTTACTGAAACATAATTGATTATATATATTTGTGGGGTACAGAGTTGACTGTCAGTATTTGTGTACAATATATGATGGTCAAATCAGGACAGCTGGCATCTTCGTCATTACATGACCGGTTTTAATCAATCTTCAGATTAAACAAGACGGTTCTCCTAGCAAAGGAAGTCACAGGACAGTAAAAACCTCAAGTAACCTGTCGTGCTGTCATTACAATTCTCTTGAGCAAAACCATAAAACCATCTCCAAAAAGGTCTGCACTATGCATGCTCAGAATGATTGGATATTTGGGATTCAGTGACATGAAGCAACCAACCAGTGTCTGCAGACATCTGCAGAGCAGACACGCGGCGCTCACCTCCAGACATCGCTTCCCTTAGAAAACAGGGAGGACTTGATCACTTCTGGGGCCATCCAGGCATAGGTGCCCGCCGCGCTCATCTTGGTGGTCCTGTGCCACTCCCTGGCCAGCCCGAAATCGGTGATCTTCAACGTCTTATTGAAGACATCATCATGCTCTATCTTCTCAAGGAGCAAAACTGAAGAAAAATCAGAGATGGGATATTTTTATAGTCTCATTTTTCAGTCATGATTTTTCTACGACATTTAAAAACATAATTGTCACTGCCGTTGGCAGAGGACATGAGAATGAACCTGTCCTTAACCATTTTATCTTACTTACAGCATGCATGTCACAACTGTTAGCAGGTCATTTGTGCCTGAAGTCACACATTAAAAAAAAAAAATCCACAGACACAACACGGTTTAGCTCTCTTTGTGTTTCTATTTCCGAGAGAGTAAATGATTTCTAGGGGCAAGAAACACTGAGATATCACAGATAGGTAAAAAAAAAAATCCACAGACACAACACGGTTTAGCTCTCTTTGTGGTTCTATTTCCGAGAGAGTAAATGATTTCTAGGGGCAAGAAACACTGAGATATCACAGATAGGATCAGAAGTCTGTGAAAGTTTACCTGGTATGAAAAAATATACTGTTTTCTTGCAAGAAATTCCTTCCTGACCTATGTGCAGTCTTTTCTACTGAATATATTGTAGAGCATCACAAATAGCTGATTGATTACCATGAGTCATTGTCATCAAACATTATATTAAATTTGCAAAATGCTTAGAGATACTTTAACTCATGAAGACAATCTATGAGATAGCATTGTTTTATCAGAGCTCAAAACATAGCAAGAAGCAAAAACTTCAGAGAAACCTCATCCAGGTGCTGGTTCCCCCAGCCCCCGACGACGTTCAGGACGCACAAGAACAGCTTGCAGGAGCGGAGCTCAGGCCAGTGTCTGTCCCTGAGGTCTCAGGTAAGTCTGCAGCCACAGTAAATGTGCTTTAGTTGCTCTCTACCTGCACCCCCCTGCCCCACCCTTCCCCAGCACCTTTGGGTCCTCTCTCCCTGGGTCATTCTCCTCTGCCTAGAACCAGGCAGAAGGTCCCTGGGCCTTCTAGAAGGCTCTGAGAAGCTGGATGCTGCCATCTGTCCTCGCCCTAATCCATTTTGTACACCAGCACCGGCAGACTCTCTTCCTGAAGTGGAATGTCACTCTTTTATCTTTTAAGCCTTCCATGAACACGCTACAAACATGCAACAACATGGGAGAATCTGTAACCCATTACGTCGGAAGTGAAAGAAGCCAGACCTAAAAGGTTACACGCTGTGATTCCTTGAGACATTATTCTGGGAAAAGAACTACGAGGCCTGACACCAGATCAGCAGTTGCCAGAGGCTGAGCAAAAGGGTTGATGGCGAAGGATGTGATGGAAACTATGTTCCTTGATGCTGGTGGCAGTGGTTTCAGGGTTACACACATCTGTCAAAACTGGAACTGTACGCTCGCAGAGGGTGGACTTTACCATGTGTAAACTAGACCTCAACAGACCTGCATTTAAAGGGAAAAAAAAAAGTCATGAAGGTTCCCCATAGCTCAGGGACAACGTCCACAGTCCTAAACCTGGGACAGTCGTGACGTCTGCATTTGCCTGCCACCTCATTCCTCCACAGGTGAGCTCCCTGTGCCAATGGCAGGCTGGCCTGTCATCAGCTCAGACACTGCCCTCCTGGTGCAAACTCCCAACTTCCCCTGAGCAAGAGCTAGTGCTCCGTCCTAGGACTCACGTGGAAGTCGTGCTCCCATCACAGCACACAGGAGGCCTGGCGTGCAATGGTTATGTGTGTTCGCCTCGATTCCTCCACTAGACTGTGAGATCTGGGAGGGAGGGGGTGGGGGGAGGGG